GGGATAGATTGTATGATTTTTGTTTTGATTTTTTTTTTGTAAATTAAATTTGTTGTTTGCCTATATTTGTAAATAAACAGTGGTACGGGAAATATAGAATGGTTTCTTGCACAAAACTTGTTTCTTTTGATATTAACTTTTTTGTGTGTAACACGTCAATTTTACGGCTAAACATATATAGTAATTCTCCACAACAAGATGAAATCGTTGTCTTCCTATTTTTGGAGAATTTGAAAATCTACATGACCAATAAAAAGTTGTGGGACTGTGACTTGCACTACATTTACAGTATTTTGATTGGCCCCCAATGAATCGTATCATATAGAATTTTAACAAACAATAGGGCAATCGCAAAGGGTGGTCCTATTAAATCTAACATGCATGAATATTTATATTTAATATTTTTTAAAAATAAATCGTTGGATTTTTAATATTTTATTGTAACTATGAATGAATGAATGAATGAATGAATGAAGATTATACATTGATGATGATGCAATAATAAATTATCTTTATCAAAATTATTAATGTTAAAGAATTTTTTATAATTGAATCTTGTGTTGGTAAATGTTTTAGGTATGTTTTATAATGTTGTTGTTAATAATGTCATTGTAGGTATTAATGTTGTTGTTACTGTTGTTAATATTACAATTATTATTATTATTATTATATATTATATCTATCATTAATAATGATATTTTCTACTTCGAAAAAATATTCATTGAAATTATTACTAAATTTTCTTGCGTGATTACCAGTAGAATTATTATTACTTGAAAGAATGTTGTTGTTTATGATGTTGTTATTATTATTTGAAAAATAACAATTTGGTGGTAATGTTGTTGTTGTTGTTGTTGTTGTTGTTGTTGTTGTTGTTGTTGCTGTTGCTGTTATTGGGATCGGTAATGGTAATGTCGAAGAAGGAGAGACATTACTAATATTACTTTTAATACTATTATTGCTTTTATTATTACTTTTATCATTATTATCGTTTGACGATGGTGATAATTGATCATGATTGTTGTTTTTGTTCTTGTTATTGTTATTGTTACTATTATATCTGAATATTTCCTCGGTGTCATAGTCATCATTGCCATCATTAATAGTAATTATTTCATCCCATTCAAGATTATGACGATGTCTTTTATTATAAGAAGGAGATGAAGATGTAGATGTAGATGGAGATGGAGATGATAAATTAAGGAAATTATTTGTTATTGTTTTTAAAGATTTTTTGGTGAACTTATTATCATTATTGTTATCAGATTTTGATGATTCAATTTGTGAAAAAAGAATATTATTTTCATCATCTTCGTCAAGATTACTATTGATATTATTATTAAGATTAATATTAAAATTAAAATTTTTATTGAATTCCTCACTTTTCCTTTTATTCGTTGAAAATTCATTATTAAATGATATAGAAAATCTTGGTTTTTTAAGTGAAACATTTAAAATTTCATCAAATAATGGAATGCTTTGTGATGGTCGTACGGCACTATGTATATTGTAAAAGATGGGATTTAATTTTAAAATTTTGAAAAAAATAAAAAATAAAAATAATAATAATAATAAAAAACTTACTTGTAAATAATTACGAATTGTACAATTTGTAGACAGACGGGTATTAGAAAATTCCACACGGCAAAATAAAACAATCCTATTTGATAGTTATCCCTAGCTGTTGTCGATTTATAAGTTAAACCAAATATGATGAAAATTACTGTGAAAAAAGCATACAAGAATGCAAGAAGTAACGAAACCGAATTCAACTGAATGATAAAATTTATTATTATTAATTATTATTTAGTAATTCTATTTATTATCATTTGCAATAATCAAATTTAACTTACATTTGTAGAAGCAACTTCTAATGTCTCTAATTTCCATCGATTTGTGTGATGATTTGATTTTTCTTTCAAACCTTTCATATGATGATTTAGCAAATCGAATAAAACATACCAATAATATAACATTGAAATAACGAATATTATCAACCAAAATGACCAAATCAAATAATGCACAAAGAAAAATTTATTAGCAATATTTAAATTTGCTTCTTCATCGCCATCAGCATTAATTTCTTTTTCTGCATAATATCCACTTAAATATGAAATTGGTGTAATTGTTATTAATGGACCAAACATTAATATTGATGCAACGATGTCAATGATATATTTATTAGGTAAAAAAACTCTTGATTCTTCATCTGTTGTCGTTTCTAAATTTGGAATTGAATAGACTTTATTCCGGATAAAGAAAATTTAGATTTTTAAATTTCGTGCAGATAAAAAAGGAGAAACTTAAAAAAACACTTACTTATACCGACTAAATATAATACAGCAAATAAAAATCCTATTTGTCTAGGTAGATCATCAAAAACTACGGAAATATGAAAAAAAAAATATTTAAATATTTTCCTCAATAATAACAACAATAACAATAATAACAACCAATAACAACCTTCTGCCCAACCTAAATTGGGATATGCATCTTGCAATAATAATATTATTCTGATTAAGTGCACTATAATTAGACAAAAATAAATTAAAAAATTTAAAATGGTAAAGTCTAAAATTTTCCAAAAAAAAAAACCAAAAATTCTTACATGAACTAAAGGTAACTGTTATAAGATGAAACGCATTGTGTGGCCTTAATCTTATTAAGCCTTTATCTTTTGAAGCAGGAAAGAAAAACGTTTGTTTTTTAGAAATTAAAAATCCCAGAGATATTATCGTTATTAATGCCAAGTATGGTATTAACGTATAACTTCCTGTCCTCAATATAAAGGTTTCTTTACAATTACTTAAATTTATTCGAAAATCACATAAACACGATTTTAATATTATTATTGTATTATTAATATTTTGTTTTTCAAAATCTAGACATGTTAACGTATAATTATTTGTCAACTGAACCATTGATTATTATAATTATAATTATTTATTATGTTAAATGAATGAATTATAGATAAAAAATGAAAGTGATAAAAATAAAACGTTAGATTTTTATTAAATATTGGATGATATGATATGATATGATATGATATGAGGGCGGATGATGGTGGTAGATGATGTAATTACGACAAAAACAAAAATTAATGAAAGAAGAAGTTTTTGAAAAAATAAATTATTATTATTTATATATATTATATATATACGGTATAAAATAAAAAATAAATAAAAAATAAAAATCTATTGTTAAGTCTCAAATGACCTTTTTTCACCTCTTTTATATTAACTATATTTAATATAAATATTTGCATGTTTGTTTTTTATGTTCGCTTTATTAATAATTTAATTAAATATTAATATCAACCACACACAAATTAAAGCAATCCGAATTTAGAAATTAAAAATGAACTATGGAGAATATGGATTGGATTTGCCCAATTAAAATACAAGAAAATTTTTTTAATCACACTTTTAGTAAATTCTTTATTTAACTTTATTTGTTTGTTCTTGTTGCATTCAGTCACCCTGCATGAATACAATTTTATGACATCTTAACTTTTTGAGAAAATAAACAAGATTGTATAGTAATAGGGGTTAATGTTAACTTTAACATTAATATTAAACATTAATATAATATAAGAAATTTTGCATTAATATGATTACAGCCCGTTAACAAATATTAATATTATATATTAAGATTAATGCACTGCATTGCTCTCATTTATGACTAGTTCGTCTTCAAATGAACAACCACTACCATTAAAACCAAACAGACAAAAACGTAGTTGGACATGTACTTACTTCAAGAATGATAACAACTATCAAGAAAGAACCAGTAAACATTTGTTCGGTCTTAAACGAAGCCGGTAAAGAATGTGGTCCTGTTTTTGCTGATGATAGCTTTGAAACCCATCCTTCGATTAAAATAAATAATTAATTAATATTATCGGAAAAAACTTCTTAACGGTCCAATAATAGTAATATATAGTAATAGTAATATAAAATTGTGAAACGTATAACATTGTTGTGAATTTCTAGCCCAAAATTAAATTTCTATAGTAATAGTAAATAGTATGATATGTTTTAGTATATTATTTTACTATATTTGTTCAATTTATATCCAAAGAGCTTCCTGGTAATGAGAGTGATACTTTTATTCGTGAAGGTTTTTTTTTAAAAAAGTTTATAATACAAATTCATTATTAAACTAAAACTTTTTTTATGTGCCTCATGCATCTGTTGTGACAAGGTTTGACTTGTAGTACTTATTAATAATATTATTATTGCTGCTAATATTGTTGTTTCCTGTAAATTTACTATTAATGGTTTTTACTTTTAATTTATCTTGTAATTTACTATTATTGGTGATTTTTTTTTTTAATTCATTCTAATTAATGTCAGGTTTTTTTGTGAACGAACATCTTTACCATTGGGCTGTTTAGCTTCAAAATTTATTTGAGTAAGCTTAAACCGTTAAATTCAGATGAATGAGTGTATTCGAATATTTAAAGGATTCATTTATCTGTAAACCCTCATTCATAACTGGATTATTATAAATTTTTATAAATCTGACTCTTTCTTAATTCATTTTTTATAAATGTCCTTTGAAAAATTTTCTCATAGGAAAAAGTGAAAAATTACAAGAATTAATTGATGAAATTCAATATTTCCTTTCCATTCTTGATTGTCTTTGCTGTTGTTGCCTTAGCAAGACCATTTGACCATAGTTTGAAGAACATAAGTATTTCATTATGGTACGCCATAATGGACTTATTAACCGGGTCTGTCCCCGAATTTATTTTTTGATAATTATTAGTAATATATATCTTGGATATGAACCTAATTAATAACTGGACTTTTGTCCATTATGACACCCTGTATTTCATTTAACACAATAAATGTCATTATGGTCAATATCATTGTTTCTGAAAAAATATTAATTGTTGATTTCATTTTATTTTAAATAATAAATAGGGGCGTAAGTATTTTCATCATTATTATCATTACAGTCAATATCATTATTATTAAGTCAATATCCTAACTGTTGGTTTTCACTTTATTTTAAATAATCAGTGACGACGAGTAAGTATTTTCATCGTTATTATTACCAGGGTTGTGTGATTTCGATGTGCGAGAAGAATCTTCGTACGTACGTACGATGTACGACTGTGATTTGTACAATTGAGTGCGTACAGCTTCGTTGTGGTCGTATACCTGTACGAGGAAATTTTGGTACATCGCACATATGTACGTACATACGAACGTATGATGTACCAGGCAGGAACTATGATTTTCTGCAGTAATTTATAATAATAACAATAATATTAAGCCGTTAACCAACCCTATTACTGTTACTATCACTATAATTAAACGGATTACCAGGTTGTAGCGGGTCGTAATACTACTTTGTTATCAGAAAAAAGTACTGATTATCATGTTATACATGATTTCTAATTTATTTATTTTTTTATTATTGTTGTACGTGAAAATGAATTCGCAATTCACATATGTGAAATTCAAATTAGTCAATCAGAATTTCACCCCATTCCATAATATTTCAATTTCACATACAACAATTATTATTAATAATGAAATTAAAAAACTTTCTTCTACATTCTTTTTTGATTATACAGTCAAACCTCGTCACAGCGGATTCATGGTAATAGTAGTGGTGCCAGCCAAAAAATCCGTTGTGATGTTGTGAAAATGAAATCTATGTGAATTTGCAATCCACATATGTGAAATTCAAATTAGCCAATCAGAATTTCATATCAATGATTTAAATTCTTTAATTCTTTATAATCTAATTGACTTTATTATCAATTGGTTTATTTTGAAAACTTGGAAAATTTTGTTACTTGTACACATTCGGATAAAAATCTATCAATTGTTGGTTTATTAATATATTTTTAGTGTTTTGTTACTCGCAAAAATTTGGACAAATAATCTATCAATTGTTTGTTTATTGATTTATTTAAGAAACTTGGAAAAGGTTGTTACTAGCAAACATTTGGACAAATAGCCTATCAATTGTTTGTTTATTGGTTTATTTTAAAAACTTGGAAAATGTTGTTACTCACAAACGTTTGGACAAATAATCTATCAATTGTTTGTATTGGTTTATTTTAGAAAATTTGTTACTCATAAATTTTTGGATAAAATTGTTTGTTTTATTGTTTTATTTTAATACTGACCTTTGGTTATTATTTTATCAATTTTGGTAATTGGGATAAATTTCATAATTTATATGTCACGTGAATCCGCTGTGATGAGACTAGTAGCCATATTAATATAGAAAGACTCCATCAAAAATCCGTTATGACAAACATTCTTAATAAAAAAAGGGGCCAATATTTAAATCCCGTTGTAACAAGAAATCCGCTATGGCGAGGTCAGCTGTGATGAGGTTTGACTGTATTATCAATTAAAAATTAATAGTAGTATTAAAATAATCAAATTTTCAAGCATATATAGTAGTTAACAGTCAAACCTTGTCACAGCGGACTATAATTAACGGATTTTTAAAATTTTGCTTGGCAAGATTATAATTATAATAATGTAAAATGAAAAGGACGGGAGATGGGATCAAGCCACACCTGTCCGTACTCGTCCTTTTTATGTGTCCGATTATTATATATATATTTTAATTAGTTTATTTATTATCTATTATGATTTGTATTCTTCATTATTTTATTTTTTAGCCTCAACTGTATAATAATAAATAAAAATCAAGACTTTAGATAAGGAATAAATAGAGATAGAATTATAATAATCCAATTTTGCAGCCTGTTATATTTATGGCAAACACCTTTCACCTGTCCTTTTTAAAATTTGCCTATGAATTATAAAAAGAAGCAATGGGGTGGGTGTTAATGGCACAGTAACCTGTCCTTTTCAAGGTTTTGTTCCCATGAATAATAGAAAGGACAGGGGATAGGTTTCTGCACCCACATTTGTTCCATGTTAGTTACCCGCCCTTTTTTACATTATTTTGCAGAATAGCCGTACCATCACCCATCCTTTTCTAGTATGAACGGGCCAAGCTTGAAAAGGGCGGGGGGACGTGCAGGTGTGGCTTGAACCCGTCCCTCGTCCTTTTCCAGAATCTCGTTATAATGCATAATCAACACATCCACTATTTCTTGTCAAGTAATTTTAAAAAGAGAGCTTTTTTCGCTTTAATCATTTGATGATTTACTATGAATAAGGCATTAATATTTTATTATCTCAGCAGTTGTATCATCAATTGTATCATTCATTTATCATGAATAATGCATTAATATTTTATTATCTCATCATTTTGATTCATAAGCTTAAGCTTATATTATTATTAGCTTATTTAAGCTTATGCTTTGGTTATTACTATAAGCTGACTTTGAGCTTATAAGCTTTTATATAAGCTATCCAAAGAATTTTTTTTTTATGGATAAACGTTTAATTATAAAAAAAAAAAAAAAAGATTTTGATTTAATTTTTGTGGCACAGCATTATCATGGCCAGGTAGAAAAAGTCTTTTTCCTTTAAATCAAAAATCTGCCAATTCACAATATTTTGTGCTGATCAAAATTTTTTTCCTTCATGATGACTTTTCCCATTTCAGAGAACAATCATTACACATATTAACATGCACACACACTATTCATAATCTTTTTTCTAATTTTAAAAAATGACATCAATCATCACTGTGTTATGTTTTATTGGAGAAGTAAATTATGTTAAAAAAAACCTTATTTATTGGACGAGATTAAAATTGACCAGCATCATGGAAACACTTCCGTATAATGCTGGTCAATTTTGAGCCGGCGTAAGTTTTAAATTTCCTGATATAATTAATACAATGTATAAAACATGAATGAAATAAAGAAAATATATAATAAAAATAAAATTACAAAATCACATGATAATGATTTCTCATATGACTTCTATATGAACTTCCGTTATAATGACATTCTCATCATACTAATACT